CTTTAATTCGAGCACGCCTTAATGTTCTTTCGAGGCTGGTGGTCGCGCGAGGCGCAAGAAGGGTCCGGTTCGAAGAAGCCCGATCTCTCCAACTCGGAGAACCCTATCGCGCTTAATTATTTTCCAATGGTGGCTGCTCGTTTAATCGGATCTCGACTAATCGTCCGCTCGTTCTTCTCGTCGCCGCTTCTGTTCTTCGTTACGGTGTAACACCCATCGCTAGTGACGAGCTGTTCACGATCGAGAGAGAACAATTGTTCGTTCGCTCGTGAGTGCCCATTCAGGAATCCCGATCGATCCGTTCGAAAAGGAAGCGGAATAGGAATTGCCGGTTCTCTCTTTCTCGTTCGACAAAGATTAACACGTGATTCTAAATTTCATTATCAAACCATTTGATCGCATCAACGATAAGATCGTATCTTTCATTTCTCGTATCAAGTCGTTGAAATATCCTCGCATCGAAACAGCTGGCTCTGAAATAACACGGATGAACGCCAACTGTGCACAGATTTCTCTCAACTTGTCGGCAACTTATCGTTCCTCGAAGTTGCCGAAGAAAAGCCGTCTCTGCTGGTCGGCGAGGGCGGATACGGGGAGGAGAAAGAAGACGTACGAAAGCAGCGCGTAAAGGTACGAGAACCGAGTAAATCTTGGCGAGGGACGAGCGGCTAATTATCTCTCGCCGAAGCTTATGAATTTTAATGTCGTCAATTTCTAACTCGATAACCCCGGCCCGTCGCGCAATTAATTGGAACGATACGTTACCTTCGTCGCTGGGACAAGCTCTTTCTGCAACCCTTTCTCTGTTCAACCCCGACGCGACGCGGAGGAGAGTTAAAAACCGAACGTTCGCAGAGGGAAAGAGAGAGGAACGAGGCAAAGTTACTAACGACGGCTTTTGTGAGCCAGACTCGCTTGTGCCACGGGGGATGCAAGGATTAAACGACACCCCCGGAACGTTTGTCATCCCTCTCGCGCACGCATCTCCACCCTTGTATCTTGTGCAAACGGATCTGGATTTTATCCACGATCCTTTACTGCCATCGCGAATTTCACCTCGTTTCTTCTTCCATCGAATCGTTTTCAATTGCAGTTTATTTCCAATTTTTTTTTTTTTTCTGGAAAACCGTGAGACATTTAATGTTCCGATGTTAAAATACTTTAAACTAAATCAAAGATAAATAGGTGCACTTTTACTGCGCAAGCTTTTCATGGTTATTTCCAATTCTGGCACGAACCGACCATTACGTGCACGGTAAATTATTCCGGAGCAACTGGTTAAACGAAACAGCTGTTAAAAGTTGAATTTCAATGGGCTTCATATATTTTATTTTTTTAAATTGCACACGATACACTTTCTACATAGATAAAGGGATGGTAAATTATCACTCCAGCATCGGAATCAACGCGAACTCGATTTTATAGACCGTAATCGATATCCCCAGCTTATGTATCATACTCTTTCGCGCTACACTCTTGCCTCGATCTATTCGAGTACAAACTTTCGTCGTAAAATTTTATCGACCGGTACTTCGAACCCCGTTCGCCGCTACTCTCGTTCAATTTTTGTGGAAAATTCACGGGACAGGAAGCCGGCGACGTCGATGAATATTCCGGGCAGCATGCTGGTGAACCGGAAAGGCGGTTCGAAGATCGCAAGGTCGGTCAGTGCACTCGAGACCGACCGATCGGTTGGCTGGAATTGTGTAGACAAACGATTTCTATCGTAAAACTTCATCTCATTCGCGTATCCAAGAAATCTTTGACTCGACAGATTAAGATTTAATTTGTAGAACGACGCTTCTCAAAATCCATCTCTTTAATTACACCAATTTCTTCGTTTCGAGTATTAAATTTACTCGACAATCTCTGCGGTTTAATTAAATAAAGTAGCCGAGATGTTTAAAAAAAGTGTAATTAAAACCGGCTGGCTAAGCGATGGTACTCGAGGATCCAGCGAAACAATTCGACCGAACATCGATCAAAGCTCTGTCAACACGATACTACTCCGAACGACGATTCTTCGAGGAAAGAAGCCGGGAAAGGGTTGGCTTGTCTGGAGAGGGGTAAACCCCGTGTTCCGTGGAAAAGAAGGGAAAACGTCGACTTGTTCCAACCTCATCTTCCGAGCGTTCCGCTTCGAAACGAGTAACCTGCTTTACGACGATCCTCCAGACACCGAGGCTAAGAACGAAATCTGCCAGAGAACGGCCGAGAAAATTTTGCACCACCTTTCCTTCCACCCTCTCTTCTTTTAACCGTTCTCCCTTCTTTCGCCTCTTCCTCCTTTACCATCCACCGTTTGCCGCCGTTTCTCTCCTTTTCGTTCTCGTCGGGGGCTTCCTTTGAATTTCATTGCATGATCTGCCGTCGTCGTCGTGCTGGTGCACGAAAACGAGCCCGGGGCGTCTGGCTTGGCGACATTCTTCTGAAGTTTCAGGACGTATTTCCAGCGTCTACGCTGAATTGAATATCTGTTTGAACGGTTACAGACGAGTCGCGATGCTTTTCCAAGGTTCTACTGTATAAGGAACGATCCGAGGAAAGTGTCGAAGAGTTTGCGGGTATCCAATATACTCGGAAGAACAGAAAATTGTTGGAAGGAAAATATTTTGATTCCTCGGGTTGTTGAACTGACGTTCCAAACTAGGATCTTTCAGTTATTTTACATGCAATATCGATACGTCTTCTGGTCTTTCAGAAAATTTGAAAAATAAAAATCGTATAATTTTCGTTGCAATTTTGCCTTTTCAGAAGGTTAATTAGAGTGGACGAGAGTGGGCGCGAACACGGGCTCTATCGGAAACGATTTTATGGTGATTTTTACGCGAACCACCGTCTGAAATACGAACGAGCTGAATCCTAATTACCATTGAGCAATAACGCGGTCATTTGGCGAGCGTTCTTTTACGAGCTCACCGACCGATGTTGCCTGCATGCATATCAGCGTCGTTATCTTTCCTCTATTCTGACAGCAAGCGAAATACACACTAATACACCGACACATTTTCGTGACCGGTCTCTCTCGTTACCAGACAACTCAGTCCCGTTGCCAAATTACGTTTCACCGTTTTCGTATCGCGAATTTACCTGCCGTCCTGTAGCCACGAAGCGGAGTATCGTTAATCGTTTGAATTCGTCGCGCTTAATTGCCGTCTATTATCGTGGTAATGGTTGCAAAGCTAGCCTCTTTATCCGTGTTTCTCTCCCGGAATCATCTGTTTACAAGGGAAGAAAACCGATGGCTATATCGCGCCTTTCTGTTTTCTCTCATCGTTTCTTCTTTCAATTCGTAGCTCGCTTTCAGACGACGTTTCGCGTTCGTTTCGTTGACTCGCAAAGAGACGTAACGAGCAGGCCTGGCTAATGGGCAAACACTACTTTTTATTTTACATCGCCGCGATTCCTTTTTCTTTTTCTTTCTACTCTCTGTTTTCGCGTTTTCATCTGCTCGTCGTATCGTGACTCGCGTAAACACATTAACGTTTATTAATGCTTTCGCAACGAATCGATGACGCGCTACCGCGTCTTCCTCGTTGGCGAACTGCATCTTGCACTTTTGAAATTTCAACGTCTCGCGAATTTTCTTTTCTATCAATTGCGAGACGAAGGACCGCGAGTTGTATACGATGTTGTTGAATCACGTGTTTTTGGCAGCTGAAACTTTGCGCCTTTGACGCGGTAACGCGTTCCCTGGCAGTTGATGTTGAAAGCCTTTAACGAGGTATTATCTCTATAGTTGTATAGGACATATTGTAAAGGACGCGGTCTGACGCGAAGGATATTCATCATAAATATCCTTGGTATATCAAGGATAACAATCGGTCTTTTTTATACCTTCCTTTTTCATGCTCGATCGTCGGCTATACGAACTGGCAGAAGCTGTTGCCGTCGTTTATTTTGTTCCAAAACCAATTAACCTTTCGCCGACCAGGCCTTTTAGCGCATGAAAGTCTGCTTCGATAAAAGGTTTAATAAAAAAGCATTTATTTGTTAACTGTTTTGTGTTAAAAAGAATCCCGAATCTGTGGATGATGTGTATACGTATCATTTATCTATGACTTAATAGATCAAATTTAGATAAAGCAAAATTATAAAATTATAAAATGTACTGATTGCTTTTCGCTCCATTAACAATACCGATATTGAACTGTTTCCTGATAAAATATATGAACAATGTGGAAAATTGAAACGTGATACTTTTTGGATGTTCCACTGGAATATGTTGTTTGTACGGTCAGAAAAATTGAATCAATGAATTGCTGGTTATTATTATTACATATTGCAGTTGTGTTAACCTTTGCTGGTCGAAGACCGAAGTATCCATAACAGTGCGTTTCCATATGCAACTCGAACGATAATTAAATTCATTGTTTATGAAGGTTTAATAAACGCAAATAAATCACGGTAACGCTCTCGTAAAGAATATAATATCCATCGATACTTTGATTAATTGAGGCAACATAATTTCATCCAAACCAATATTATTTTCCCAAAGGGGAACCGATGTTCTCAAAGGTAGACATCGATTAATTAGTAAATTTATATCCATGTTAATTAACCCGTAACGTGCCATTGAGCATCCTTCGTCACGTTAAATTAATTAATGACCCTCTAAAATCTGATAATGTCGTTCGATCGTATTATCGCGTTATCGAATGTGATTCGCTTGTAATTATTGTCGGTCTTTAAAATAATTATACAGATTATGTTAGAATCTTCCTTCACCGAACTATCCATCTACACGGAGCGTCCAATTTACAAATAGTTGATCTTCTCGCGGCGAAATCGAATCGACCGGATTCATGCATCGAAGGAATCGATCTATTAAAGAACCGTGGATCGAAACGGGGAAAAACTGGCAGATACGATCGAACGGTACGAGATTTTATCCGCGATATGATCTGCAACAATGGTTACGCGTTCAATAATACCATTCCCACGCGTGATTGTTCGTGGGAGAATTGTTATTAATAGGTTGCTTTCTCTTTCTGTTACAGGTAAATTCAGCAAGGATTATGAATTGATTTTTGCCAATCGGTCCTGAATTATTCTGGGTAACGTACAAATTATTGTTAATAACAGAAAGTAGACTTTACCTGTAAAATTCAACGAGTACTTGTTTCTTTGAACAATTGTCCGTTCCCGATACCCAACCTAAGCTGACCTAGCCTAGTCCACCCTAATCTAACAAACCGATACAGCAGGAAACTAAATGAAACGCGCGTGACGCTGATTGCTCGAACTAATCGTCGGAAATTATTTATACCGATCGTCGCGAAAGAAAGTTTCCCGTCGAAAAAGAAGGACGACGTAGAGCGGCAGGCTGGGAAACGGGAGGAAGCCAGGGCGAAGAAGGAAACGACGTCGGCAAGATTAAACCGAGTGCAAATATTTAATTAAATCCGTGGAGCGCGCACGCCTAGCGGCGCCAGTTTACAGCCACCGTTTGTAATTTCTTCGCGAGGCTCACGGTGAAAGTGGATGCGCCTCGATGCAGACGGCGTCTTTGCTTTCGAATTGATCGAGAGTGCGTAAGAAAGTGTCGCTTTTGAATCGGTCCTTCTTTTGTCGCTTTCCATCCAATTACCTCTTCTCGTTCCCGTCGAATTCAAACGGTTCCTTTTTTCGCAAACGAAAAACCTTCCTCCGACCGTGAAGAAACTAACTGCTGACCGTGCACCTTTGACATTTTTTATCTTGCACCCGAAAGATAAACGTTTGCTTGATTCGCGTAAAACGTGCGAGAATCTTTGAAATTGTCCTGCCACCTTCAGCCGCCTTTCGCCAGACAATGGTCCAGGCGGTGGAAAACTTTCCGAACGAATCGCGACGCTTCAAACTGCAACCTGCTGCAACTTTTCTCCGTGATCCGTGAAAGAAATCGTCGCTTTTAAATCACCCCGTCGCGTGGACGATGCCGGGTCACGCAATTTGAAAGTTAGATTGCTTAAAGCGCCGTTTGACCGTTCGTCGAAAGAAGTTTCCGACCCGACGCGATCAATGCCGTGCGAATCGTTGCAATTCCGATCGATAGAAGTTTAACTGCGAAAAGCGTACAACCTTCTAAAGAAGTCTTGTACTCGTGGAATCGATCAAGAAAAAAGTTGTCGCAGAAGAAATCTTTCGTACTCGAGGAGAAAGTACAATAACATCCGACAGGTGTGTCAACGCGTTTATTTGCAAAAAAGAAATCATAGAAAGGAAAATTCTTCAGAATCTTGCAATATTTTCCAATTCAATTTGAAAAAATTGCTTACGATTTTGGATACAAGCCAGATCTATTGTCAATCGACGTTGCCTTTTATATCGTTAGATTAGATCGATCAACTCCCGGCACGTAGCGCAGCGGAGAGGAACGGTTTCTCGGTAATCCTTGCTAGGATTCTAATATCCATTAGTCCACTTGACATCCGGCTAATCCATCTCACGCTCGTTTTCTCGATTTGCATAGCTTCCTGGCTTTCTTCCACGTCGCAGCTCGTTTGTCTGCCCGCGAGAAAAGTGTGGCCCGCTCGTATATCACGGCTCGATAATTTTCTAACGCTTTAAAATCGTGCGTACCCCGCGATAACCGATAGAAATCGGATTTCACAAGGTATGAGCATCATAATTTCACTGATTCGAAATAAGATATCTGAAATCCGTCATTTGGACGGGTTCGATTGTTGAAGTGTTTAAACGCGTTACGTGATCGACTACTCGATAATTAGAAAGCGATGTTTTCTACGAATCAACGAGGATAGTTAAACGATCGTTGCATAATTATTACGTTTGGCTTGTTGCTATATTTGGTAGAAGGCGATTCGTTATTGAGATACTTCCTCGTTCCAAGGTACTTAAGCATCGATGTATGTCAAAGATATGCCTTAAAAATAGACGCAAGATGTTTTATCGTTTAGATAAAAGAATAACATCGAAATCTGTGTCACGCAAAGACGATGTTGAATAGAAAGGATTTATGAATAGCCCGGGAAATGATGGACGACCATACGCGAATAGAGTTCCAATTTCACCGGGAATTACGTGTAAGAGAAGTCGTGGGTAATAAATTGTCGAACACGAAACAACGATGTAAGCAACAAGGGATCCCCGATCGCGTGCGTCCGACGTTTTCTATTATTCCGTTGAAAATTTGTCTTGGGAGACGTTACGTAGCCGAATCCGGACAGGAAGGAGAAGACGAAGCCGGAGAAATCGTAGACGGTCGATGACTCCCCGCGGAACGCTCGAGGCAGTCATATTTGTCGGTGATTCGACCGATCGGATTCTCATCCCTCGCTCTCTGTTTCGAGCTGTTCGCCGCGATTCTGCTGCGAGTTTCGCGTACTCAGCATTCTCGATGAAAGCAGCCCGAACAGGAGGGTAAACGAAACTCTCGGGGTGCGAGACGAGACCGGAGGGTTCAAGAGAAATTCTGTAAAAGGGTCCTGGAAACGAGTAGCAGTCTGCTCGATTTCGTGTCGCTCGATCGACCAAAAAAATTCATCCCCCCACCAGTGTATTTCGTTACTTTTAATCTAATGAAATTCATCAAGGGTAGGTTTCTTATATTTTACAATAATGAAATTTCTACTCGTTCTCTTCGAGTTTCCTCGAAACGAAGGAACGCGACGCGATTCCTTGTAACGCAGCACGATCCGTCGAAACGACGGACGGAATTGGAAACACGACTTTAGCACCTATTAGTCAGCGGTTTTCCGTGGAAAGCGGAAAACAGCATGACTGGGTATCCAGGCGGCGGAGCTAGCTGATGCATAAGGTAAAACAACGAGCGCAACAGGGCAAGAGACTCGCACCGTTGTTAAATGGCCGAGGCATTGTTTTCCCTCGGCCTTGAATCTAATTATTCCAGTGAAAACAGCTTTTACACTGTCGCGATATATCTGCTCTTCCGTGCACGTCGTTTCTGCGTATTCCCGTGGCAATTTCTGTCGATTCGACGGAAATTGAACGATCGAATGTACCTAGAGGATATTGGAAATCGTCGAGATTTTTGTGAACTGTGTTTCTGGATTCGCGATGGGGATAGCGAAAAATCCATATAGGAATTCGTGGAACTTCAATTTGTAAATTGCTGTGGTACGATATTTTTCAGAATTCAAAGTGAAACCCTCAGGATTTCAAAAATTTGGAAAATCTTTAACTCTTAAATTTTCTTTTCCATCACTTTTTATTATCCCAAAGTTCTGTGTTCGATGCACATTGTACAGATCACCGTACGGAGGGATTATTTATATGGTAATTCAAGTTTTACGTTTGCTCGAGTTTCCGATACGTGGCCTTAAAAAGCGACGATACGAAAACGCGTCGAACGTTGATGACACCAGTCGTTCTACGTACGATTTATGCGCGGTTCCGTCGTTTATGTTTTACGACAACTCGTGCTCGGTCAACTACGCGCCGTTGTAAACGAGCCCCCACAAGTCTCGCTACAATGAGTTCGCCCCTTTTCACGAGCAGCACATTTATCAAACGTTCCTCGAGAATCTTTCTTCGTGCCATGAACTCGGAACCTCGTTATTCCCTGTTTTTTTTTCTAACGTTCTTAAATTGAAAACGATCGTTCTCACTTCGAATGCGACGAAGTTACTGACGTTTCCCAACATTTGCATGTTGAAGCCGCGAGAACGACGTTGCACGTTCATTTAGCGATTCATCAAAGTTCTATTCTTTTTCTAATAAATTCAGAGAATTCTATATCGCGATAGATAATCAGCTGGAAAATTTTATTTTATTTTTGCGAACCATGGATCACAATGTTAAAGTATTTCTATTTATTGGAAAAATTGATTAATTGTGAATTTAACACCGTTATTATTGATGAACCTTTTTCCGGGTTAATAAGAAACAAGAAGATCCTTGAACCATTTAAACAGGCAAGGTATTGCCAGCGCCGGGTCGCAGATAAATTGATAATAAATCCTGTTATTACTTAAGAGCCTTCCATTTTGCATACTCGATTCGTTCGGTCGGTTGCTCGCTGCTGACTACGCGAACCTCGTGAAGAGGAGAACGTCGTTATGGAGATCCAGGTCGGTCTCTCCCAAGAATAAGGGAAAATTTACGATTATTACGAGCGGACAAATAAACGCAATCACACGAAGAATTACGAAGGAAGCTTTCGCGAAATTTAGATCGATCCCAAGCGACGACGGTTCGACTGGTCGAGAGCTTTGGACCCCCGTCTTCTGTCATCCATCCTGCAGACGAGGAAAAACGTTTGTCCTCGCGGTCGTTGTCGTTGTCGTTCCCGCTGTAACGATTGATTCATGAATTTTTCATGAGGTCCGGGATTTACTTATTAAATACAGCAGCCTCGGCCCTTACGCTACGGTAATTCACCGACCGTTCTGTTGTATCTTCGATGCTCGAACAGCGATTTAAAATTGGTATTGCGTTTGAGAAAAATAGGATATTTATACCGATAGAAAATTTTGACGAAATTAGAATCTACAGTAAAAGTTTTCAAGTCTCTGTTTCGTCATATTTTAGCGAAAGAAGGGAAATAATTTTGACGGAAAATAAAAATATTCGACGCGAAGGTGAGACACGTTCGTCGCTGCGACGTCCCCTACGGCACGGCGTCGTCGCGCTCCGTTTCGCCTGGTCGCGTCGCATTAAGTAAGCCCGTGGAAATATTTACTCGGTGCAGCGGACAACTGTAAAACCAAGAAGTTAGCGGAGTTAGGAGTTTTCGTTACGATATCATCCGCGCACGGTACGCGGAAGCGTCGAGTAATTTTAGCCCCCGCTGTTCCGCGAACGTTTCTATCCTGGCTGTCCAAGTTTTACACGCGGCAATGTTCCTCCATTCCGCTTTAATTCCATTTAGTCAACGTTTCCCTTCCTCCATTTCTCTCCGTTCTACTCGTCCGTCCCTTTTCACTCTCGCCTGTTACCCTCGTCTCGTCGCGGACACGAGCAGAAATCCGTCGACGTAGGAGGAGGAGGAGGTGGAAGAAGAAGCGACGGTGCACGGAAAATTTGCGAGTTTGACAAACCCCGCTCGTACGACCACCTGTACGTTCAAAACTTCATTCATTCGCTTACGCGA